TCCCGGCGAGGGTCGAACTCACGACCTATGGCTCATAAGATCATCGCCCTAACCACTGAGCTACAGGACCGACCGTCGTTCCTACCTGACAGATTCTGGTTTTGCTCGATAATCTACTGAAAGAATTACGTCACGTACTAGTCGACAGCGGCAGGATTCGAACCTGCGCAGGCAGAGCCTAGTGGATTTCGATTTCACCTACTCAGCCCCATCGCTCTAACCATTTAGCTACAGGACCAACTGTCGCTCGTATCGGGATCGAATTTGTATAAAATGCCCTATTGAACGTCACGCACAATGTTACGTTAGTCCTGGCGAGGGTCGAACTCACGACCTATGGCTCATAAGACCATCGCTCTAACCACTGAGCTACAGGACCAACCGCCACTCCTACCTGACAGATTCTGGTATTGCTCGATAATATCCTGAAAGAATTAAGTCACGTAATTATCGACAGCGGCAGGATTCGAACCTGCGCAGGCTGAGCCTAGTGGATTTCGAGTCCACCTCCTTAACCACTCGGACACGCTGTCTGAGTTTATGAAACGGTTTGATCCTGCTTTTGGCCGATAAGTTCGTCAAAGAGTCAAATTCCGTACTAAGCGACGGCAGCAGGAATCGAACCTGCGCAGGCTGAGCCTAGTGGATTTCGATTTCACCTTCTCAGCCCCATCGCTCTAACCACTGAGCTACAGGACCAACCACCGCTCCTACCTGACAGATTCTGGTATTGCTCGATAATATCCTGAAAGAATCAAGTCACGTACTAACGCTGTCTGAGTTTGCAATACGGCTAGATCCTGCTTTGGGTCGACGATTTCCTAAAAGAACCAAATCTCGTACTACTTGATAGCTGCAGGATTCGAGCCTACAGAGGTTGAGCTTAGTGGCTTCAAATTTGACCTCCACAACCGCATCGTTCTAAGTTAGAACGGTTATGTAGCTCAGTGGTTAGAACTTCTAACCACTGAGCTACATAACCGACTGCTGAAGGTATCGGGACTGACGAGGTATGTAGAGGATATATCTGTTTCGAGAATGCCCTCCAGGGCTTCCATTGGGTCATTACTCTGACAGATTGACGCAAATTTCCGCAAGAGGAATCTTCGACGAAGATTCTTCGTCCCTTAGGTGACCAGTCTGTAATGACTGCTGGTCATTCGGCCGCTCACTGGGAATTCTTTCACGAATAAGACCGAAAGCTCGCTGGCGGCAGTCCTATGCGCTTTATGCAGAATTCCCCGCTGAAACTGATGCCTTGGGGCGCAAGTTCAGCTCTGGAAAATCTGTAACAAGTTGTACTTTCCAATTTATTATGTTGTTACTAACATCCTAATATACTGTAAATTACGATTTGTAAATATCGCTTCGCTCATATCTCATGATGATCGTAACGCATGCACTTTTTATCTTTCTCCAATGATGTTCAGATTATCTTAGTCCGATAAGGAGTTGTAGATGTATTCGTTAGATTTAGAACCTTAGGTTCTGCTGGAAAAGAAACACTGTACGCACGACGCACGCGACGCGTGCCGCGCACCCGTCGAGCGCGGCACTTCGGTGAAATGATTGAATTTTGATTATATAGCCCTGCTCGCTGTGATCCGTTCCTAATAATACTTAGTCTAATGTCAAGTTACGGTTCCCACTTTTTCACTGATCAGTGAATCGACTCCCTGGAGAAATATTAACGGATGTTGATTTGCGGTACCAAACCCGCAGAATCCTGGGACTGATGGATGCGAGTTTCAGATGCAGCTTCCGAAATGACTGTGTCACTGGATTTTGACTTTCGACTTGATGGATTGCGGAATTGTGCTTCAATGGGTAGCGACTCGTAGTAGGCGACTAGTAGTAGCACGATTCTGTAATCAATGAAGATATCATTGATGCAATCGATTCGCGCCCAGTGATTCACCAGTTGAACCAGTGCATGGCAGTGAAAAAAACATGATCACGTTTGCATTTAAACTCGTAATTCTCAAGCCCAGACTCGACAACACTACACCGAAAGAAAGGAGTACCGCCACGTGATATTTATCTCATTCTTACTGGCTCGATAGTACAGATATATGGCCGTATCACCGCTAGACTTTCACGGCTCAGTAAGGGTACCTGTGTTCGGATTGCCTTGCATGCCTCGCATGATACCGCCAAGTCGAACTGTCCTTCCAATCTCACGCGTAGGACTGCGTAATAGATAAAATCCGATACGCTTGAGGCTTACTGTTGAGCACTAGCATTCCTTGAACATTTCTAGGCGTTTTGCGAGCTTTTTCTTGATTTTTCCTCGGAAAACTATTTTCAAGAATTTTGGAAATGGAAGGAGGCCTAAGAAATTTGAGGATTGATCAATTGTCAGGCCATACTATTGTCAAGCCCACCACAGACGATATCATCATACCCGATGGTCGATGCATATGACGCAGACTCTGAGCACTCTCCATCCAGTCGGCTCTCCCGAGGTCCTCAAGTAGAGCTAAGTTGAGGAGGATGACCTTCAATTATTTCAGTCCTCCTACGTTAGGCTAGCCATTATGGAAAGGGGCAATGCGAGGCTTACATTCTCTCCTTGATCTTATCCATAGCCTCGGCAGATTTCGCCATCGCTATTGAAACTGCCGGCGAGCTCTTGAGTGCCGGTATGGCCTATTCACGGCAAGTTCGCTCCAACAAGCCATTGCTTTACCTACTTCCACGGCTTCAGTTGCGCTCTTATATGTCATCACAATGTCTGGCCACAAGGATGCGTTATCACTGGCCGCCGTTATCTGAATGCATGCGGTAGGAATACAAGAGGGTATTACTCCATACAGTTTGGTCAAGGTTGATCAACTCCGATATGGTAGTAACAAGATCGCGAGCGACGGAGAGCTGTCTGATGCGGCTCATTCTATCATTGGAGAGCTCGCCTTTTCCCAGCTAAAATAGGGGATGTCATGGGCTGCGGTGAAGAGAGGAAGAGCACCTTATTGCAGCTCTTATTAATATCGGCTATTGTGATGCCAAGGCTCTTGGCTCGCTCTTGGTAGGCAGCTACCTAAACGACAATGCACATTCAGAGAAACGAATAATTTGACCTTTGCCGTGCTGAGCAGGCCAGTGGTTGGAGCACAAGTGTCTACTAATAGCCTGTAGTCTCGATAGAGAGCCTCTTCCATCTGACGAGGTACAAAACTTATAATAACGCTGAAGAGGGCAGCTAACCTTCTCATTGAGCACTTTTATCTCCTTCGAAACTGCTTGCTGTGATGACTTCAGGGATTCTCTGATGGACGTCATACTGCCATCAGTGCCATCTGATAAAACTCCTCTCCGTTTAACACTCAAGCGTTCTATCTAACCTAGCCTGTCAACTGTAGCTGAGCCTTTCTCTATGGTTGTGCCATTCTCAGTATCAGATTCGTCGTTCCTCGTTTCCTCCGGTGAAGAACGAATGCGAGAATGCGACGCGGCAGAAGAGGAGGAGGACTGAGCTTATGCTATCGGCTAACTGCAAATGATCTCCGTCCCACCTGTGAGTCTGTTCTTGAATAATACGCCGATAATAAGTGACCGACTCTACGCTTACGGCCAGCAACGTCACCAGACGTACTTGAAGCCATTTCAAGGGTTTAAAAACTGGCCTCAGACCCACCGATGAACAGTATCAAAGTGAGGACACGATTGATAGAGTAAGTGGAGTAGTGCGTGTTTAGGTATCTAGTATATGGATTCGTTCCCAACCGGCTCAACCACTGATCATCAACGCAATAACATTCTTGTTGAAAATAGAAACACTAAGGTGCTGAATGTGAAGTTATCATCACTTGCGTTTGCGCTGATTCTTCCGTCTCTTTTGATGCTGTGTCTGTCTTTCTGTTGAAGCCTCGAGTTGGGCAGTACTGGGACCAGTTTTCACATTCTCGCCCTCCGCTGGGACCACACCTGCAACCAATACTAGCCACACCTCACAAGCCAAGTTGACTCCTACCCTGTGGGCCCCGCATAAGCTGCATCTGCTTCTTCTTCATCTTACGACGATAATCAGAGCGCTCATTCTTAGGAAGCCATCTACGTGAACCGTCACTGCGCCACATAATCCTTCAATGTAGCTACCTTTCTGGGTCAGGTTTACGGAAGGCCGATGGGTTCTCCGGATCGAAGCCCTTTGGATAGCGCGGTTTACGCTTACGATGATGCTTTTTAACCTGAAAGACATCTCTCCAAAGTTTCTAAGTGGCAGCTCCTCACCTCAATTTCTTCTCCCTCTGCCGTCGGAGCCGAAGCCACAACCTTCCAGCTGCCTGCGCTCACATCCATTTCCTCCAGCTCTTCTGGATCCACATCATCAATGGCGTCTTCGATCGTCTCAGCTTCTGGTGACCTGTTAGGAGCAATGAGCTGAAGCACCAAGACATGAGACAGGCCACACCTTTGCACTAATCGTTCCACCATCATAGTGGCAGTCTCTAGGCTTTCCGGCGCAGGAGCGGTAACTCTCGAGAGGGCCGATACCTGTCCAAAATGAGCCATGGAACTAGGCTATTGTATATTCTTACTAGCCCTTGTACAGCCTCAGTTGAGCTGCTATCGCCGACCTTACTGTTATAAAGCTCCCATGCCTTAGCAGCTTCGTCGTATAGTTTATTACGAGTAGCCACATCAGCAACATATCTATTCGCACTAACAGCCGCATCTAGTTCCTAAGGCCTACCTTAGCACCGCAGCAGCATCACCTGATGATCGCTTTTGCCAGAAGTTAAGGACCTGACATAGCCCTACGAGATTACCTAACATTTTAACTAGGTTACCTCATTAACCTCCTTCTTCAAAGCATCTCTATCCTCCTCAGTGCTTCCAGTATGAGCAGTAAACCTCTGCCTTACAGCCTCAGGGCGACCCATACTGACCTGAGAAAACGCTACGCTCTATTGCCGCGAGTAGCCAATTGTAGCTCACCTCGGGGCCTAGATCGGCCAGAATGGTAGCTGCCTCTGATCGAGTGGCTGACGATTCTGCCAGTAGGCCCGCCAGAGACAAACGCACAAATGTTGCATCACCAGAGGCGCTATTAGTAGCCAGCCACGACTTCAATGTGTTAACCTGTTAACCTATATACTTAAGATATGCTCCCATTTGCCGCCTTACAGCTTCCTTCTTGCCATCTCCACCACTACTATACTGAGTAACAGCCTTACCAACAGCTGCGGCACCACTCCTTTTGAAGGCGTCGCCCAACTGCTGTTCTAGCTGAGTGAGGACCGATCGGGCTTCAGCGACCTTGGAGCGGTTTGATAGAGCCTGAGTAGTATATTGCGACACAAGTTAACGTGAAGCGGCTCCAGTTACAATGCTCTTGTTAAGTCCAAGTGTCTCCAGCTGTGTGGCCGTTAACTTGCTCTCCAAGGACTCCGCTTTACTAGCCAATCTTATCCTCTTCAAAGCATCAAACAACGAGCTGCCTTTAGGCTTCAGAGTCACTGAAATGGAGAGCTGCTAATAATTCATCTCTGTCACATGTACCAAGATTATTGCAGGCAGTGGCCATAACTGTGACGTCGTTCTTGCTTCCTCCGACTACTGGCCTCATGATCTTCTCGTATATTCTATAAACAAGCGACGCTATAACATCTTTACAGATAACATCGGCAACATTACTCAGTAGCATCTCCATTCCTACCTTGTAGTTGACGAAGGTATCTGAGGTAACACATGTAAGCCGGCCT